CCCGTGCCCCCCCCCCTGCTCCCCACCTCGGCGGTCATGCGAGCGATGAGGCTGGGCAGGATGGCCCCACACAGCACGTTCCTCCGCAGGCTGGGGTTCTTGGGGTCCTTCAGGTTGCTGATCCTGCTCCGCACCCGGTTGCGATACTTCATATCCGTGCTCTTCAGCTCCTGGAAGATATGTGGGGTCCGTCAAGGAATCAAAGGGGCAAGCTGGGGGGATGCCAGCCCCGTGGGCACCCGGCTGCTGCTCTGGGCTCGGTGGTGCTGATTGTCACCGGGGCCAGTGCCCACGTGCATGTGGAGGTGGCCGATCTCAACAGGGCTTTGCTCCCTGGGGGACCACGTGTGAGGGATCTCCCCCTCCTTGGGTTCAGTAGGATGAAGCATGGCTTGGGATGTGGGGAGGAAAACAACTTTGCATTTCCCTGCTGTGACACCCAAAGGCTGTCAGGGCACAGGGACCGTCACCAAGCCCTGTGCTGGGACCTGAGTTCATGGTGCAGAGGACTCAGCCTGTTCTCCTCCTCCCAGGCTGGCCAAAAAGCCGCCGGCTGCCTGCACGGATGCAGGCAGACAGGCTGAGGTGGCAGCTTCGGGGTCCTGTGAGGCCGCAGGCACACGCGGGCAGAGAGTTTGGGATGCACCAAAAATCGTACCCAGGAGGGGAAACCACCTTGGGGCTGGTCTCAGTCTCGGGGGGCTGCCAGAAGGCCCCCAAACCTTGAGTTGGGTGTGAATGGAGGTGGCTCCATCCCTGCCAGCGTGGCACAGCCTGGGCACTGCGATGGACCGGAGTCGGCAAGAGACACCGGCACCCGCAGCAGGCTCAAAGAAGAGGGTTTTATTTCCCCAGGGACGAAGGCAGGTCCCTGAGCAGAGGGGTTTGGGGGGGACGCACAGACCCTCAGACTAAGGCAGGTGCCCAGGGGATGCTCTGCTCAGCATCAGCATCAGCCTCTAACCAGGGTCTGGGCTCCCTCTGCAGGCAACGGGGACAGCAGAGCCCATCACCTGCTGTCCTTGTCCCCGCCACCCTCTGTCCTTGTCCCCGCTGTCGGTCCTGAGCCCACGTGTGTGTCCCCCAGCAGACGGAGCCTGGGGACCCCCAGTCCCCCCCAAAGGATATGGTCTTCGATCTCCGATGCCATCTTCTCACAGTTGACACCGAACTCCTTGTAGTCGTCTGAAGGGCAGAGAGGCCGAGGGGTGACTTTCGGGTGTGAAACCAGCCGGGTCTCACCGTGCACCGAGAAACCCCGGAAAAAAAAAATCTCACTTCTCCCACTCAACTTGTCCCACGCACCCCATCTCTAAAAAACTATTTTTACCCATCTTGAACCTTACAAAGACCCCATCCCCACATCCAACCCCTTATGGGAGACCCTACCAATCTCCTTTTCTTTCATTTTGGGGCTAAACACTGAGCTATAGCTGCAGTTTATTTGCAAGTCCAGAGTGAGTTTGCTTGTCGCAGGGCTGTGGGTGCCCCAGGACGCAGAGCCTGGCTTGTTATTGTAGGGTTGCTTCTCTTAGGGCTAGCCCATAGGAGAAACAGCCCAGTTTGGGCCAGTAGTTTAGGGAGATGATGGGTTACCTGCTGCCCCTTTGAATAACCCACTCGGGAGGGCTCGGCCGGGGCAATGCTGTGACCCCCCCCACGGCTCAACGCAGGCTTGGATGCTTCTTTCCTCCCTGTTTTGCCACGTGCGATGAAACTAGGGCTTAAAGCTGCCTGCTTGCCAAGGGCAGCCAGCTCCTGCACCCGCCCCCCGCAGCTCCAGCGTCCCCCAGGTCCAGCACCCCTCCCGGCTCCAGCACCCCCCAGACCCACTCACCGTCCATGCGGAGGGCGGCCGTCAGCATCTCGATGCACTTGTCCCGCACCGAGTCCCCCGTGAGATAGCAGGGGGCCAGGAGGCAGGGGCTGGGTGAGAAGGGGGGGCTGGTGGGGGTCCGCCTCCGCTCCGGTTTGGCCTTGCTGCTGTTGGCCCTGCGGGGGCACGAGGGCAGGCAGGTGCCGGGGTCCTGGGCCCCAGGGGGGAACGGGTCTCTCCTACCTTTCCTCCTTGCCGTCACTGGAGTTTCTCTGGGAGGCGGTGGAAGCTGGCAAGGGGCTGCTGCCCACAGAGGCTCTCCTGGGGGTGGGATGGGGCGGGGACAGTGGGGATGACACCAGAGACGGGGCAGGCAGGACAGGGGGCAGGGACCGGTGGCAGGACCTCAGGCACCAGCACATCAATTGCAAGCACTTGGAAGCCAACAGGAATCTCCCGGGGGGGGGAGGATTTGCTCATCATGGGGAATGTCCCGGTGCCCGTGGCAGGATCAGGGCTCCCAGCCATCTCTACCCACCCCAGACGTGGGTCCCATGGTCAGAGCATCCCCAAAGGGGATCCCCAAAGCATCCCCAGGCTGCCTGGGGATGCCCCCTCCTTACCTCTCCCCTGACGGTCTCTTCTGCGGGGAGGAAGAGGAGGAGACGGCCGAGGTGGTGGAAGACCTCAAGTCGGCAGAGTCTCTCCTGGCAGGATGAGCCCCATGACAGAAGGCAGCGATAGGGACCAGGCGATGGGTCCAGACCCCCATCCACAGCCTGGCAAGGGGCTGGGGTCCGACCTCTCCCATCCCCATCCAGCCCAGGCACCCACCTCTCTTTCTTGCTGTCTGGAGGTGACTTCTTCGAGGACGCAGTGGGGCTCCGGCCATCGCTGGACTCTCTTCACCGCAGAATCCCAAAGGAAGGGAGAGATGCTCTCAGTGAGCCTGGCCCCAGCATCCCCCGCTGTGATCTGGTGAGCCGGATCCTGCCTGCCCATCTGCACGCCCCATCCCCAGACAAGTCATCCCCGAGCCCCACCAGCCCCCAGGCTGCCGGCAAAGCCTCCCCCGGGGCTGGCAGTGGCCGGCAGAGCCTGGCGCGAGGCTCGGTGTGCCCTTTGGCGGGTACCTCTCCGGGACGGAGTCGGCAGGGTGGCCCCGGGGGGTGGAGGCACGAGAGCCGGACTTGCTGGGCTTCCTAGGGACAGAGAGAGCAGGGCAGGGTCAGACGAGCACCGTCCAAAACAGCCCTCGCCCAGGGAATAAATAGCTCTAGAGAAGGGGGGGAAAACCAAAAAAGCCATTTCTTCCTCCCTTCTCCGAAAGCTGCCCTGGTGCTGCCACAGCTGCAGGCAGCTGCCCTTTGGTTCTCCGGCGGCGCTGCCGGCACCCAGGGACAGGCAGGGACGGAGAAACCAAACAACTGGTAAGGAGCGAGCAGAGGGTGGTCTTGTATCGGCCCCACCGATGCCTTGGCCATGTGGCTGGTGCCCCCTGACAGCGGGGCAGGAGCCCCCACCTCTCCTTGTGCTTCTCCCTGTGCTTCTCAGCCCGGCTCTTGGGGTGCTTCACCCCTTCGTTGGGGCAGCTGGGAAAATCCAGCCCCTTCTCCTTCTTCTCCTTCTCCCCGTCCGTGTCCTTCTCCTTCTTCCCATCCACGTCCTTCTCCTTCTTCGGGGTGGTGGACTCTAGGGGAAGGATTTGGGCGTCACAGGCACGACCCAAACCAGCACAGGGCACCTGGGGAGCTGAATCCCAGGGGGTGTGGGGGGGATGGCTGGGGGA